GTTTTTGTATTGTGCAATAATCAATTAACTGTATTTTGCATGTATTTCCAAATGTATTTTTGAAATCTTCTCCAGATCCCTTGGTTCTTATAATAGCTCCTTTTTCCATGTGAAAACAATGACCTCAGATTTTTCAGCAGAGAAAGATAGGCCATTTGTTTACCCCAATGTGATACTTTATTCAAGATTTGCTGAGCTTGATTGTGTAGGATTCCAATATTGAAACCCTGTAGTAACACAATAAGGTCATCTGCATAAGCCTGTGACATGCCAGGTTCCTCCCATAGACGTACTAAGAGTGAGTCGAATACCAGGTTCCACAGGAACGGAGAAAGAATACCACCCTGTGGACACCCTTTAGTAATATCTCTCTTTACTTCACAGTCAGTGAGACTAACGCAGATATTCCTGTTTTTAATCATGATCCATCTAGTTATCATAGGGTGAATATGACTTCCAATAAGGGCCTTATGTATTTTCTAGAAACCAATGTTATCAAAGGCTCCTACAATATTCAGTAGAATCCCAATGGCAAAGTGTCCGTCTATAATTGTTTTTTCTATTCTTCACACCAGTTGGTGTAGGGCCGACTCAGTGGAGAAGCCAGGCCTAAAACCGTGTTGGTCTAAGCCAAAAGTATGGTTCAGATTATTATCTGACTGGAGGTGCCAGAAAATCAATCGCTCCAACATCTTGAGCTGGAAGGATGTTAGTGTAATCATTCTAAATGAGTTTGGTTTCTCATATGTGTCTTTTCCTGGTTTGGGAAGAAACACCTCGTGAAGTTCTCCACACCTTAGGAACATATCCTAAAACCAAACCGGATTCGAATATGTCCACGAAAATGTGGCCAAAAATATCCCAGCCTTTCTGAAGCAGAACTGGGTTAATGCCATCGTTCCCTGGAGATTTAAAGGGAAGAAATACATTCCAGGGCCACTTTAGCCTTTTTAAAGTTCATTATTGTCTTAGCAAAATCCAAATCTAATGGATTATGAAGTAGTTCCAATGGATTTTCCTGGGGGTCAGAGGTGACACTTGTGTCCCCCAGATGAAAATTTATCCAAAGGGTTTATAGTATAACTGCCATCTGGTCCCATAACCGATGAGAGTTGAGACTCCTGAGATCTCTTAAGAATCTTATGTACTCTGGCAGTCTCATGGTAGGACAGAATATCTGTGCAGAAGGATCTCCATGAGTTGTATTTAGTTTTCCTGATTTCACTTTGTAAATTTCCTTTGTAGAATTTTGAAGTTAGACCAGTAAACTCCAGATTTATTTCTGACTGCTTTCCCGTGAGCTCTCTGTACCTGTAGGTGGAGGTTTTCAAGCTCCTTGGTCCACCAGACTCTCTTGCTAGAAGAGTACTTCCTTCGTTTGAGAGGGCATGATAAGATTCAATAATGATATTTGTCCAGTTGTTTGCTTGAGTATCAAGCTCCTCGACTGAACAATTATTGTCTAAAACCTGAAGGTTAATGACATTAGAAACGACAGATTCCTTATAAAGGTCCCAATTTGTGTTTTTAATGTTTCTGAAATATTCAGCTGGAATTTCATCTCTAACACAAAATTGTATAACGCGATGGTCTGAAAGTGAGGGATTGTCTCTTACATGCCAATTCTCAATAAGGTTATAAATATCAGAAGAAATCAGTGTGAGGTCAATGACTTCTTCTGTTGACAAAGGTGGGGCGATTTCCCCTGTTTTACCCAAGTTAGGTTGGTATTCATTATAAGTTCCATGAGTTTTTTTCCTCTAGGATTGGTATCAGAACTGTCCCATGATAAGTGGTGAGTGTTAACATCACCACCAATAACCATAGGAATATTGTTTATTTCACAGAAACTCATGAGATCTATAAATTCTTGCAGAATTTTAAGGTCATAAGCCATGTCAACCGAGCAAAAACAAATGTTTTCTCTCAGTGAACTGTTTATGTCCTTAGTTAAAATAGCAGTTAAGTCCTCTGATGTAAATTGAGATATTTTCATAGCCTTTATATTTTTAGAAATGTAAATGCTAGTTCTAGATCTCTTATTAGATCCCTCTGATGAAAAGAAATGTGCGTCGGGCCTACCAAGGATTTTACCCTTGTACTGCCAAGGATTTTACCCTTGTACTTGTACACTTTTGTTGAATTAAGGCAACAAAAGTGCCTTGCTTACCTAATTGAGCAGCTAAATTGTATGAAGCTACTCTGCTATGTTGCAGGTTTAGCTGACTAACCTTAACCATTAAACAGGTTAAATGAGAGATAAGAACTTACCCTGAAGGATTTTAGGAGAGACTTAGTTAAAAGCCGCATTCTTAATCCACGACTTCCTGGGAAAAACTATTCAGAGGTCTTCCCCAGAGCCTCCAAAAAAAGCTCTGGTTCCGACTCCTTTTCGGTCTCCCCTTCTTATATCAACTGTTTCCTCGGAGGATTCTTGGGCGGAGGAATTGATTTCTCCTGTTGTCTTGGTTCCTTCAGCTGTACAGAGCCACAGGCACCACAAAAACGTTTGAAATTCTGGGCTTGCAGGTAATCCATGAGCTCAGGTTCCACTCCCAGCACCAGAGTGTTACCTCCGTCTCCAGGGATGACTGCCTTGATGGCGATCTTCTTAACATCCAGGCCCTTGTTACAGGCATCAAGGAGCTTGATGTTATCTTTTGGTGACCTGTTACCAGGAAACCAAGCGAAAAGCCCTTCATGGGGGCTCTGTCCCCGGGAGCCATGGCATGAAAACTGAGATGGTTTTCTTCAGGGCCAGGTAGATCATTGATTAAAGTCTTTAGGACATCCACAGTCTCCTGGTCCTCACATGCAATGTTGAGGCCATTCGGCTGCAGAACTGTCTTATGGACCCTATAAAAGTGATGAAGTCTGAATCCACCAATTTTATGTCTCTGGAGTAATCCTTGCAGACGACCCTCAGAGTAATTGCCTTCCTCACAGCTTGACTATAAAGCTGTCGTTTCTTGAGGGCCATTTCCGGGGTGTCACTAGCAATGCATTCTCTCTTACGAGAATCTTCGTTGCTTGGATGGCTCTCCCTCAGCAGTTTGGAGGTCGCTCCAGAGGTCCCAGCTTTATCTGTTTTCTTCCTCACTCGCTCTCTTCTCCCCAGAGATTGATATCCCTTCCATGGCCCTCTTCAGCCATTTCCGCTCCTTCTGGAGTCTTTTTTCTCTTCTTTTATTTACAACCTCCGTCATTGGTGACTGGTCATTCACTTGCGCATTTGGCACAGGACTTCTGACAGAGGAGTCAGTATCCATCCCCACTGGGTTCAAGGCGTCCGTGTCCGAAGACACATTCACCCCTTCACCAGCGGTTCTGGTTTCTGTAGTCCTGAAGAGAAGAGCATCCGCACCCAAGGGTGCATTTACTCCCTTAGAAGGAGCTACAGCAGGTAAAGTGGGGGTTTCAGAGGATGCGTTTTTATCTGGTTCTATATTGCTAACATCCATTTTGGTATTTAATTGAAAAAAAGGGGGAGAAAAATTCCTTCCGATTTTCTAAGATCCAGTTTGGAGGGGCTAGCCCCAAATTCAGCAGCTAGCAGTGACCTCGGAAGAGCCCCCCCCCCCCCCCGCGCTCTGCCATGCAGGACCCCACCCAGGCACCACCTGGAACTACAAGGCAGGGGAGATTATACACCAGCTGATAGAGCAGCCAAGACATGCTGGTTAGGCTGCCCGGGCTCCTGTACTATCTGGTGGCCTGAGATGCAAAACCCAGTTTTTCTCCTGTATCCTCTACATGGCCTCTTCCTGTAAGACCTCTCCTCTCTAGATCAAAGGTCCTCGGAATTTCAAATCCTTCCCACAATCGGCGGTTTTCCAAGGGAGGAGCTGTCTGTTGGGTCGTCATAAGATTATTCATCATCAGACCGAACCTCATCCCATTAAACCCCGGTATGCCACAGAACTTTGTGGCAGTTAAACATTTAGCACCACCCAGGGGGCACGTGTGACATAAGGATAATCACGGACGTGGGTAACATTACCCCCCAAATTACCTTTCATACTAATCACACTAAATATAAGAAATAAGAGCTTAACTTCAACACTTCAAGCTTCTTACTCAGGCTTAAGTTTTGCAACATGACAAAATTTAGAATAGCAACATGTCTTTAGTTGCCAATCGCATGATACATTGCCAGTTTTGCATAGCGGATGCCAGCCAATAACGCCAACGAAGCTTATCACTGCGCATATGTGAAGCATAAACCATGCTAGGGCTAGATGCTACTTTGATTAACGGTTGGAGTTACTGATCTATGATTGGCTATTCAAAACCAGCAACGCACTCATCTAGGAAAAGTCATAGCAGAAGCAGAATTTAAGTCAAAGCCATTCCCACCGAAGCTGAAGTAAAGATATATAATGACATGAGTATTCAGCCAATCATCGGATGAATTAGTTGGTTTTTTTTTTTTTTTTTTTTGTGTACTAGTTCTCCTACCCTGTTTCTGTAAAATCCGTAGTTTTTTCCCCATACTTTTTGTAGCTCGTAGTTTTTTACGAAGTTCCATAGAAACTACAGAGAATAAGTAGTAGTTGGAGTCTATGTAATAGTAAGTCTGTATTTTAGATGGAAATGTGCCATTGGAGGATAAAGTTTTAAACTGTAACTTTTATGCTAAGTAATTTTCCATGTAAAATTATTAATGCATAAAAAGATTGAAAAATAACAAAAAACAGATTTAATAATTACACATAATAATAATTGTAATTTTAAAAGAATTTTTTTTAATATTAAAGTTACTGGCAATGTCTTTTGGAAGATGTAGAAATGTTAATCACTCTATGCGATTCATCAATCAGTTTTCACATTATTTTGTGAAATGCCCCCCCCCTTATATCAGATTAGATATAGCAAACCACTGGATATAATGAACCAAATTTTCACTTTCTTGAAATTTGTTATGAAGCAGAGTTTGACTGTAAGTATTTAATTAGATAACATTTTATAATTTATTTATAGAATATGTGTATTAATTACAGAATAGTAGAGAAAAGGAAAGAAGTGATCGAGAAAAACTAAGAGATAAAGAAAGAGAAGAAAGACGCAGACTAAAAGAAGAAGAAGATCGTAAGAGGGAAGAAAGAAGGAAAAGGATTGAAGATGAACGTCGACGAGAAATTGAAAAACAAAGAGACAGATCTAGGAGAAGAAGTCGTAGCAAAGACAGAACTTCAAGTCGAAGCCATTCTCACCGAAGCCGAAGTAAAGACAGAAATTCTCATAGTAAGAGTAAAGATAAAGAAAAGTAAGTGCTGCATAATATTTTAAAAAACAAATATGTAAATATTAATGCTGTAGGCATTTTTTATTTATAGGAGTTAGTCATCAGGCCGCAATTACAAATTCCTATTAAAAGCAGGAATATGTTTCTTATTTAAATAATTTTATTTTGTTCAGACATTTTGCCTTCAGCTCAAGGACTATTTACAAAAATTCATGTAAATGAGACTTCTATGTTGAAGTGTGGATGTTCGGTTTTCAGGTGTGCTTTTTTACTTTTCTACATATTAAATTAACACTTATGTATGACCTTTAAAAAGTGTTTTATAAGAAGTATGATTTATATTTTATGATTTTATAATTTGAATTTTTATTTTTAGATCTCGAAGAAGAAGTGGAAGTTCAGAACGAAAAAGAGCACGATCCCGTTCTCGTGATAATGGTCATCATTCTCGAAGATCTCGATCTCGATCCAGTGAACACAGGAAAGATCGTGATCGCCGAGATCGAAGAGAAAAAGACAAAAACAAAGATCATAGGCGTTCATCATGTAAGCAGTATTGGGTTAAATTTTTATTACATATCTATAATTTCAGATTGAGTAATATTATTAAGTATTTTTTACGATTACTTTCAGTATGTGTGTGCTTATTACAAGGTAGGATTTCATTATATGTATAATATATATAATATTAAGCCATTAATGTATAGCAAAGAAACCAAAAATAAGTTAAAAATTTTGTTTATTTTTACACTGCTCTACAAATTATGCATGATCAGACCTCACTGAAATGGAAATAGGTATTTTGCATAAAATTGTGGTAAATTATAAGGCTTGAATTTCTTCCAGAAGAAATGAAAAATGATGTTATCAATGGAGGGATATAGTAATAGCAGTTTTAATTTATTTAGAAATAAATATTTTATTACTTCTATAATAATTTTTTTCAAGAAGTGCTTTTTTAGCTTTTTCATGAACAATAAATAATTTGAAATTGCAAGTTTTATCTCATTTTAAGTATGTTTGTCATGTTCTAAACTTCACATTAGGATAAATAGCAGTTTGATAGTTAGTGAATTTAGTAAGATTGACAAAAAGCATCAAAATTGTACCATTTTTCAAAACTTTGATTTGTGAGCGAAGGATATTATTTTATTTATTAATTTTATCAACTTTTATGGGGTATAGCCAATGGAAAAGTATAAAATATTTTTCAGCCACTACAATGTTCGTACAGTTACATATTTTTTGTGGCTAGTTTACTTGCAGAATAATATGTGGATTATAATTGATGGAAAAATTAACAATCAGTATTGGGAAGCCCAGTAGTTGAATTTCAGGCAAACTTTTTACAGATAGAAAAGTGATCACTAAGTAATAAGTGAAATTTGGCTCTAGTGTGGAGCCAAAATTAGTGTATTTCTATCATAATTGGAAAATTATAATATACATTTAAAAAAAAATAGTACTTTTAGTGATAAATAATGTCACACTTAATTAGTTAGTATGGTTTTAATTTTATATATACTTTCCAATATCAAAAAGATTTGTAAAAAAATGTTAAAAGTACAAAGAAAACTAGCATTTTTTAAATACTAAAATGACACTGATGTGCTTCTTTACTTTTGAGCACAAAACAGAGAAACTAACAGAAGAGTTTGCTGCATATATTTTGCTGGCAGCATAAGCCAGTTGGTTCTCATGTTACATTACTAAATTTATTACCTGCAATTGAAATCACTTTGTTTTATGTTTTCTCTTTAAATTAATTTTAATAGTCATTTTAAATTGTATTAAATACAACACAAAAGCAGATAATGTTTAGTTGTTCTTTAGCCTCAGTTTCATAATTTTTCCATAGAAAAAACTGATTTGTGCCATTATTATTATTATTATTATTATTTTGTTTTGTTTTGTTTTTGTTAATGAAGAGAGAAAAATTAATACTTTTTGCATAACATGGAGTCTGTGTATATTCTGACTCTCTTAATGTTTTAAATTTTTTTTAAAAATATTAGTAAATTACAGATAAAATGTTACATTAAAATCTTGGTTATCCTAATAATGATGCTTAATATGACCCAGAAGCATAAATAGAAATGCATACCTGTTGACTTTGCACATAATATGTTAATAGGTGCAATTGTATAATATAGGTGCAATAATAACAGTTTATTAATAAATGTGAATATTTTACATTTATTCTTGATTTTTACTAATTGGTAGCAAAAATTACTAATATTTTTATTTAATTATTATTTATTTATTTTGTGTCATGAAATTGCAGAATATCCTTAGCATTTGTCATTGTAAGTCTTTTAATGATCTTCAAAGTTTTTTCAATTTGTTGAAAAGGGTTTTGTCTCAAAGTTGTGTTTAAATTATGGCAAGTGCTGTTAATGATGAAAGTGTAAAATAATTAAATGTAACATAATAGCATTAGTTCTGGTATGATATCTTATAATTTTTGTATAACTCCATACTAATGCTGAGAATGCTTTAAAATTATTAATTTATACTTGAGGCAAGATTCATGCTAGCAAATGAATTTGTCATTTTCTGTGTTAACACATAATTCACATGTTTATGTTATCAATATTTTGTGGCACAAATAAGTAATAAATAATAATTTAAATTGATTTTATGTAATAAAGAGGTAAATTTTCATTTAATTTTATATCTACAGTTTTCTAGACAGTACTAAGGATAATGTGATGTTATTAATTAAGGTTAATTTCATAAGCTGTCTTGTAAGATTAGAAGAATCTGTGTTTTAGGCATGGAATGAACATCATTTATTTTTTTATTGTAGATGAAAATGGAGAATCATCAGAAAAGACATCAAGGTCAGAGGATGGAAATAAAGGACACCATTCCTCAGGTGACTGAGCTCTGATCTAATGTGTAGTTTTCACAGGTAGGTAACCCTTTTGCATTATATGGTGATGCCAAATTGAAGCTGATTGTCTGCATCTTTGTTATGCTTAGGTGTAAATGAAGACTGGATTCAGAATGAGAAATAGAATTCCTGACCTCATGTTCACATAGCAGGTATTTGCGTCCTTTAAAACATGACCAAGGAAAAAAAAAATCAAAATTATGCATTAATCGATAAAATATAACATTAATCAAAATAATTCTTATGTAGAAACTAGAATTGTTTGTAATTTGTTTAAATATGATTATAATTTTCATGTTAAAAGCACATACTGGTTTAAACAAAGGATTTATTATTAAAGTTTGTGTTGCAGGTTATAAATATGAAGAATTAAATATATAAAATTAAACAGAAATTCATTAGCAGTAACACTTAGGGATTCATAAGAAAATAGTACATGGTGTTTTTCTTTCTTTTATTCCTGATTAAATAAAGTAAAAAATATTGCTTTTAATTTCATTATGCATTAAAATTATATGTGTGTGAGCTATTAATGTTTTGTTATTAGATGAGATTCTAACTTTTTATATGCTAATAAATAGGTTTTCAAATTCATACTTTATTAATATATAGCCATCTGCATGAAATGAAAAGATTTGTTTGAACACCTTCTTGAATTTACCAGTAATATTCCACATTTTTTGAATTTGTAACATATTAAAATCTGTAGGAAGAAAATGGGAGAAATATTTTGTTTAACCTTACAAAATGGTAACATTACAATATTAGTGCAGCTTCATTTCTCATTTAAAAATTTTGATTAAATCGCAGCATCTGTACTTTTTAAAACAATCTGACTTAAAACTTTTCATGTTTATGAACCTTAAATATGTGTATGTGTTAGTTCTCTTTTCATCATTAACATAATTCTTCTCTTTCTTACCTTAAAAAAGGTTTGAATAATTTTTATGTGTATGTAAAATCGTAATTTTAACTGCATGTCTGTTTAAATATATCATAGTACGAGTTTCTAATTATTATTTTCTTTTTATAATAATATTATTTTACTATTTTTTTATCTGGGTTTTAAAAAAAAACTTAAAAAGAATTGCAATTATACTCAATTTTTTAATGGCTGATAAATTAACCTGCAATACTGTGATAAATTCAGTTTAAACCTATATGTGAGGGTGTCCTGAGGAACAAGTGTAAAAAATTTTTCTCCATTGTAATTGCAATATCATAGTCTATGGAGAAAATATCAAATCGTGTCTTCTTTCTTGTTTGCTGTGTCTTTTTTTTTTTTTTTTTTTTTTCCTTTTTTCCTTTTCCCCTCTTCCTGGTAGTTAGAATTTCAGATCAGCTGAGTTTAATTATATAAATTTCTCTGTTTAACAGTTTTTATCTTAAATTAATTTTCAAGAACTTTTCCTTGGACACCTACATTCTTAGTTTATCTTAAGTGAAAAATTAAGACACATAAGCGCGAATTTTTCTGAAATTCCCCTAACACTTGTAGTTCGTCAGTTTAGCAGGTGTATATCTGTCATATGGTGTGACCAGCCACTGGAACATCTGTTGGTTTACTGTCTACTCTTCTTGTTTCAATATCAGGAGGCCTTAAATCACAGGTGACATCTCTTTTTTAACACTTGTGGTGAATGGAGAAGTGTTTTCTTATCTATTCTACTCAGAAATTGAATTGTTGTTTGAAATAATGAATTTTTATTATTAAAAGAATTTGCTTTTGTAAAATTTTTTTAAAAATCTTTCAGTATTAAATGTGTGTGTAAGAATATTTAATACTTCATTATGTTTTGTTTTATTACCTTTATCTTTTATTGTGAGCGAGTTTATCTATATTGTGGCTGTGAAAAGTCCTGAATATATCTGCTTTTGTTACATATTTAAATGTAAATTTTTTATGCATATTTAAACCTGCATTTTGATAAATCCTAATTCGTTTGATATTTATAGGTTGTTTTTTTTTTCCCTCCCAGTCTGACAATTACTATTGAATACTATATTTAACTAAATTGCGAACAGTATATTTTTTAACAAGTATAAAAACATTGGCTCATTGATGTCTCTGCCACGAAAATGAAAGAACTGATCAGATCTGCACATACATTGTACATGTTGCATTAGTTAAAAAAGCCTCAGATTACAAAAATATATATTTACATTTCTCTCTTCATAGAACCTAGCTCAACATTGGAATTTGTTCTTATGCATGCTTTTCTTCTAACAAACGGAGCATATATTCAGTTATAAGACAACAATTACAAAACAGAATTAGCTTGATAAGTGTTGCCATCATTTGGGAAATTATCAAATTATTCACGACTTACATTTATACTCATCATCTCTTGGACATATAAGAATTTTAAGAAAGTTTTCTAAACAATTCTGTGAAGTGAAATATTTTTAATTAATCTTTTTCTCAAGAATTTCAAAAAACAACCACTTGTATTCATTTTTTTTTTTTAAATAGAAAGATGGAAGTTCTATTGTGAATTCCTCCATAATTTATATGTCATCTACCAGTTGCTGTGGTAGATGACATATATATTACATCAACTTATATTACTAGAATGTTCTGTATTTCATCCTGATAATTTCTTTGTATGTTTAGAAAATGAGATTTTTCAGAAAGTATTAAGGAACTTTGACATCAGAATAAAATATATTCTTAAAAAGGGGGGCACTGGTCAGAAAAATCATGCTATTTGTACAGAAAAAAAAAAAAAAAAAAAAAAAAAAAAAAAAAGATGTATCCAGGATTTTACAGCCACTGTATCCTGACTATATATATTATTAATTATTATTTCTTTTAAAATAGTATTATATAATTGTGATTGATACTTTCAGGAATTGTTGAAACTTTTAATGAAAGAAATAATCATTTAGAATTCTATAAAATGAGAGTAAAAAGTATGTGTGTATAATGACAGTGATTCATAGTTTTAAAATTTAATTCATAATTTTGATGCAGCAAGCTTCTATGCACATGCTATTTTAAAAGTAAAATACTGGAAAACATTAGTCTCTATAATTAATGTGTATGTGTTCTCTGTATTACATATGCACATATATTACCATAGTTACAAAGCTTATTAACTTCTCAGATTTATTTGTAAGACTGCATAGTATGCTATATAAATCATAAAAATCTAATTATTTCCTCAGATTGTTTCTCAGTAATCTGAATATTTAATTTAAAAGGAATCAGATATTTTCTGTATTCTGTAACTCTTACATTTTTCACACATACAACAGCTAAAGGTATGAAATTGTGAATAAGAAAATGAAGGTGTTACATAAGATAGATACTGGAGATAAAAGTGGATAATTTTAAATATTAATGCTTTTCTTTTAATTCTTCTCCCAGTGAATTGCAGAATTCACATTGCTATACACCATATGCTCTGATATGCTCAATTTAAAGACATCAAAGCCATAATTAAAAATAAAAACCAAAAATAAATTAATTAATTAAAGAAAAAGTACTATGATAACTACACCTCAGTTTGTTAAAATGTGGATCATTGCCTAAATTTCTTGTTAATTTTTTTCCCCTTCTCTTGCTATAATAGCCTAACTTTATTCTATTTGGTAAAACATTTAAAAAAAAAATATTTTTAGTGCTTATATTACATATACAGCATGTCCCCCCAAAAAAGGGAACACAAAAGGAAACAGTTCTAAATCTCCTGTTCTAGTTGGCTGATTGACAAATTTTAAATTGCATAGCTCTCAAACACATATTTTGACCCAAAATCTAAATTTTTCTGAAATAACATTCCATTTTCTTCCGTCCAGCATGTCAGTTGAAATAATGTGCAGGTTTGATTCTGTACCTCAAAATATCTATAAAATCATACCATCTATTTTGAAGCTACTCATGTACTACTCATTTTTTTTTGGGGGGGGGCATGGTGCGCAATGAATTGGAAGTTGATCTGTCATCATTATCCTTATCTTCAGGGCACATGTTTTTATTTTATTTGGCTTATAATTCCTTGCTAAATGTAGTATTTCATCTCGATGTACTCCATCTTTGATATGATTTAAATCAAATTCCTCATCATTATAATTCGCTTCCGATAGTGGAGAAAGTGACACAGAGTTTATTGAAAACGAAAAAATTTCAATTGACAAATTAGTCAGTATTCTCGACACAGCAATTATAGGACTTGAACAGCGGAACTTTGTAACTGATCAAGAAATTATGTCTGTTTATAGAATTAAAGAGAAAGTATTATCACATAAAACGAAGCAACTTAAACAACTTACATTGAAAGAATTGTTTAATAAAGTAAACAAATAAATATTAAGCTTTTTTTTTTTTTTTTTTTTTTGTAAATTTTGATACCCTTTAGATCATAATTGTTCTTTATTTCATAAATTATGGTTTCATATTTTAATTTTATAATTTCTGCATGCCATCTTGCCAGATTTAAACTGATGATCTATAATCCGGAAAAATCGATAATCTGGAATCGCCGAAGTCCCGACGAGTCCGGATTAACGACTTTTGACTGTACTTTCTGATAATCTGCACGATTTCAACGATGCATACAGTGTCATCTATTTATTTATTTATTTTTTTTTACAGTGAAGGCACATGCTGTTTTGGAGGTATTTATATCAATTGATGGTTGTATTTAGGGAAAATGCCAGTTCTTTGCAGAAATTCACTTTCTTTTACCTAGTAATAAATAAAGCTAATAATTTTTGTAAACGAGATATGGCTATCTTCAAACCATTTTTCAACTAGCAGTCTAATACTTTGCTTGCAATTTTTCCCATTGTATTTCTTTAAAATTCAGTAATTTAAGAAGTACAATTCATACAACAAAAATTTTTATATTATTTATTATTGGGCAAAATGGCATATTTCTGAAAATTGCAAAAGCTTCTTATCATCAGCGAGTAAAGTGCATAGTCCCAATATGATTTTTCATAACCAAAGCAAGTGTCTAAATGCAAAAAGAAATACTAATCAGAAAAATTACCATTGAATTACATTAAGTACATGCATGCCTGAATTGCCACATATATACTTTTTGCCAATATGTTATGATGGCTTATGAATACGTTTTGTGGCTTTTGAGTAGGGGTAAAGATAATCAAAATGGACTGTATTTCTAAAGCAAAAGCTAATTAAAATGTGCAAATTTAAAAGCATGCCTTTTCATGCTGCAAATGAATAAATTTATGAATTTTAAACAATTTTAGCAGCTCTTTTATCCTTATCTTTTTAGCAAATAATAGTATTTTAATAGCAAACGTTTAATACATTTAGGTGAAGCGACAATGTGAAAAACTTCCTCAAACTATCTGTAGGTAAAATGGAAGTTAATAAAATTTCTACTTTGAAATTCATCATCAATAATTTTTAAAAAAACGTGAATTTAATGTTTTTAAAATTGAAAAATTTAAAACATCATGCTAGTAAAACCAATTTGTTAAATTTTGTTGAAAATTAAGTTGAATGAAAAATAAATTTTAAGTGAAATGTACCTAAACAATGCAAAATGGATTAATGGTCAGATTTGTCATTTTTAATCCTGTGACAATTTTGAAATCATCACCAAACACTTTTAGTATTTAAACATAGTTGCAAAATTCTTAGGTATTCCAATTTTGAAGATGTGTGTGAAAAATATTTACTTTAAAATGATGCGCAAATTTTTATAGCCTGTAATTCAATTTTTTTTAGTTATTTAAAATTAAAAAAAATGTTAAATTAAATCAGGAAGAAATATATGAATTTTTGGCTTATCTTAAATTTCATAGCTAAACTTTTGAGTGCTAATTAAAAAAAAAAAAAAACTCATTGTGCAGTTTTTACAATTGTGCATTTTAGCAAAATTTGAAATTTAGAATTAAAATATGGAAAAAGTCGACATGTTAAATCCTAAAATTCTGTTTTTTTTTTTTTTTTTTTTAGTAGAGCAGTACTATACTTAAATCCAATACATGTACCAAATCATGCTTTGAAGTCATGAAAAATGCACTTGAATTTAATCGATTAGCTAAGTAGTGCAGGAAATACAGAACTGCCCCCTTTTTTTGACTCGCTCTGTGCTAAATTACACAATAAAATAGGTTCTTCCCATATAGAAAATTGGATGTAATTAAATATTCAAAATAATCATTGTATATGAACAAGAATTAATTTTAGGGGCAGTGTTAGCTATTTGAGTAAAATGTTAAGAGCTATGTTTAAGTTTCAAATTTAACCAGAGAAATGTCCGATTTAAAAAAAAAAAATTAAAAAAAAAAAAAAAAGTGTTGCCACTCGACAAAGCACGAGATATTTATTTGTCTTTCAAATTTGATTAACAGTAGTCTAATGCATATTTTTAATTTTTAAATGTCCAGATGACAGTATTAAAAAAATAGTAGTTGGCTTTTTTTAACATTAGTAAGGTAAGGTATTGTTTAATTCGGAGCATATTAGGTTTTGAAGTTCCTTGTTTGTTAGTGAAGTAACATATCTTAATGTAGGAATAGCTGCCAGATGATAGTTGTTGGCCTTGGCGAGTAAACAGAAGTTACCTGTGAAGATATCCTGTTGGCATCTATAATAGAGGTGGGCTCTAATGACACATTTTGTGTATCTCCACCTTCTCCATGAAAAAAAAAATATATATTTTTTTCTGGTTTGCCTACACATTCAATGTATATATTATTAAACACATCAACATCCTTTATTTTTCAGTGCAAACTTACAAAACTTTCATTATATGTTTTAAAAAAATATGTTTATATATATTTTGGGTCCGTGACACTTAGCCGATGGGACACTTAACCGACAGGACATTTAGCCTACACAGACATATAGCCGACACGACATTTAGCTGACACGGACACTTAGCCGACTGGTCATTTAGCCGACAAGGACACTTAGCCGACAGGTTATTTAACCGACACGAACAGTTAGCCGACAGGACTGTTAGCCAACAAGGACACTTAGCTAACAGGACATTTAGCCGACACAAAGAGTTACCATCAGGACATTTAGCTACGGGACACTTAACAGTCAAGACATTAGTCAAGAGGACACTAAGCCGACAGTGACGTGTAGCTGACACGTACCCAATAATTATTTAAACTTACTATCAATTACAAAATTTCTCGACTTATCCATAAGTTCAATATTTAAGTTATTTCTTTTTCACCTATATTCATTCAGTAAAATTCATTTTTCGATTCTTAAAGGTCTCATATGTGCTTTTAATTCTTGTGTAATTTAGCATTGTTTGATATGTATCGTGCTGTTTGGTGTATATTGGCCAAATTGAAAAAGTGCCGAAATTTCTCGTCGGGGAATATGAATTATATTTCGAAAGGAAAACAGAAATTTTTTTACCTAAGTACGGTGGCCACTTAATTTACATTTTAATATGATCTTCAAAAATTATCTGTAAAGCTTCTTCATTTAATCAACTGGGTTCTTTTGAACACCTTCACATCATTAATAATTTTTCTTATTTACTTAATGACATTAATTTTCCATTCTCGCTCTTCTAAATGCTTTCACATCTGTAATACCTTTACGTTTCACACCCACCAGCAGCTGAGCGCTAACGTCGCTGAACACTGGTAGTTCAGTCCAAGGTTCGAATCCTGTGAACGCGCTGGCTGCATGGGTGTTTTCGTGGTTTTCCCTATGTGTAACGTGTATACGAGCCAGTTTCCCTTAGAAAGTCCTCCATGAAGGTATTCCTGCCTTAAGGCAGATAGCCCTTGAGTGCTTTGTCGTAATCTAACAAACCAAACCAACCTTTACGTTTCATTACTATTTAACTCATCACATCACGTTACATTCTTTCCCTTACAAAAGCATTTGGCTTCTCCCACTAATGAAATCCTTTCCCTGTCATGAAAAATCTGAATAATGCAATAAGAATTATTGTTATTCTTGAATTATACTTTTTTATAGAAACATATGGTAGTAAGGGTTAGTTTAGCAAATATATTTTATTTTGTTATTAAAAACAATTTATAAAAGTGAATTTTTGAGACAAGCAAAGGTATACATTTTTTGTGAATAATTTTGCTGTTCATGCTGTTCATGCCATCATTCTTGAGATAGAAATTCTGTAACATTTCGTTGACCACGCCTCTCACTTAAAATACTTACTTAGGTTAATGTTTACAGCACTAAATTGGTCCATAATATTTAATTTAGAAGTAAAATATTCTTTAAGGTTTTGTTTTATTCATAATTGAAGCTGCAGAAGAAGGGGGCCACAAACCAAGTAGACGGAGCAAAGCATCACATCCTGAAAAGTCACCGTAATGTGGTGCCATTTATCGATGCTGGATTTAACTAGATTAGTCATGTAAATACATAATATTATGTACTATTTTTTGAAAGTTGCGATGTGTAACTTTCAATATAATATCTTATATTAATGTCTTTCTTATTAAATATAACTTTTCTCAATATCTGTTAAAAATGTATTTTCATTTCATTTTTCATAATTTTTTTTTTTTTTTTTTCCCTCTTTCATTCCTTCTCTCCTCTCTTGTTTTCGGTTTAGCTACATAGTAATGGGAAAATTTTTGGTGTCCATTTTTCTGAATGCATTTATAAAGTTTTAGCCTAAAAAGGCAATTTTCATTGGAAGAGACTCGCTATATATTACATAAAACGGTCACCCTATTTCTGTTAGGTTCAGCAGAGGCCGAGCTTTAAAGTCATAAACCCTAGCGGTTCGGTCCGAATTTCGAACCCTGCAAACAGACAGGCTACATGGGTGTTTTTGTGGTTTTCCCCATGTGTAACATGTATACGAGCCACTTTTCATTAGAACGTCCTCCTCAATGGCATCCCTCCCTTTGGCCAGACAGCCCTTTGGCTTTGCTGTAATTACATAAACAAAACCTACTTCTGTTAGGTGGCTGCAGACTTGGTTTGTGGCCCTCTCCTTCTGCAGCTTCAGTTATGAATCAAACAAGACCTTAAAGAATATTTTACTTCTAAATTAAACATTATGCACCAATTTAGTGCTGTAAACATTAACCTAAGTAAGTATTTTAAGCGAGAGGCATGCCCAATAAAAGGTTACAGAATTTTATCTCAAAAATGGTGACATGAACTCCAAATTATACAGGTAACAAATAATTTATACCTTTGCTTGTCTTAAAAATATTCACTTTTTTAAATTGTTTTTAATAACAAAATAAAATATATTTGCTAAACTAACCCTTACTACCATATGTTTCTATAAAAAAGTATAATTCAAGAATAACAATAATTTTTATTGCATTATTCAGATTATTCGTGACAGAGAAAGGAAATTTCATTAGTGTGAGGAACCAAACGATTTTGTAAGGGAAAGAATGTAACATGATGTTATGAGTAAAATAGTAATTGGAAACGTAAAGGATATTAGAAATTTAAAAGCATTTGGAGGAGCGAAGATTGGAAAATTAATATCATTAAGTGAACAAGAAAAATTACTAATGATGTGAAAGTGTTCTAAAGAATCCAGTTGATTAAATGAAGAAGCTTTACAGATAATTTTTGAAGATCATATTAAAATGTAATTAAGTGACCTCCATACTTAGCTAAAAAATTATTTTTTCCTTTCGAAATTTAATTCTTATTCCCTGACGAGAAATTTCAGCGTTTTTTCAATTTAGCCAATATACACGAAACGGCACGATAAATATCAAACAATGCTAAATTAACATAATAATTCAAAGAACAAATGAGATCTTTAAGAATCGAAAAGTGAATTTTACTGATAGTGAAAAAAGTAACTTAAATATTGAACTTATGGAGAAGTCAAGAAATTTTGTAATTGATAGTAAGTTTGAATAATTATCGGGTACGTGTTAGCTAAACGTCACTGTCAGCTTAGTGTCCTGTTGACTAAATGCCTTGAAAGTTAAATTTCTCAATGCCAAATGTCCTGACGGCTAACTCTCTGTGTCGGCCAAATGTTCTGTTTGCTAAATGTTGTGTCGGCTAAGTGTCCCTGTCGGCTAAATGTCCTGTAGGCTAAGTATCCGTGTCGGTTAAATGTCCTGTTGGCTGAGTGTCCGTGCTGGCTCAATGTCCTGTCGGCTAAATGTCTTGTAGGTTAAGTGTTCGCGACCGATATATTTTTATACTGAAGCTTTGATTTTTATAATGTGGCACTGAAGTATGAATGTTTTACTATATGGAATATGACAACATATTTTTTATTTAAATTAAAGAATCATTCAAGGCATTCTAAAATGTAAATGAGTTGAAATTCTGTAGCTAACTACTTAATATTGAATAGAATCGTGCCCCTGTGTAGTAAATATGAGCATATTAAATTCATTAGTCTGTTATCTGGTAATGGATTATAGCAAAGCATGCATGATATAAGAGGTGTGCCTTTGTGGAGAACTTTATAAGGGAAACGAGTACATACTTATGTTACATATGGGAAAAGCCATGAGTATTCTCATGTAACCAGCTTGCTCACTGAAATGTGAATCATGGTCAAATTACCAATGGTTTTTACTCCTTGGGTGCTGGTGGGGTAACTAAATTGTATATAAAAAATAACATTACTTCTGAGCATATCGTAATCATTTAAAATAAAAGTTGATTTTTGAGAACTTGAATGACTCCAAGTGTACTAACAAGCTGAAATGACAAGATTAATAACTAAACGTTAGAGTAAGAAATAAATTCTCTGTTATTTAAGGGAAAAAACTTCACTAATTTATTTTAAATTACAGAATATTTGACTTTTTGTGAAGAGGTAATAAAAGTCCTATTTTCTTGAAGCTCATGAGTGTCAAAATACCAGAAATGTCATAAAACGTTTTAATTTTATTCAGGCCTCCATTTTCAATATTTATAATAGTTTATTATATTCAATTGAAACAAACTTTTGTTTAGCCATCTGTAGTTTAGCTTGTTCACATGAAAAAATACAGATGAAAATGATAGAAATGGATTTTCAGGAATACAAACTTTAAAATTTATAGATTAATGATTGATCTTCATGAAGTTGTGTCTATAAATTATTATATTTAAAACTGGAGGAGGAGGAGGAAAATAGGGATGCACAATCTGTTCATGAACTTTGAGCAAATAGAAATTTAACAGAATGGGGTGGCAGCTACTTCAAGAGCTCTTGTTGGAAGTATGCCAGAAAAGTTAGTTGCCATTTTAGAGGAGAAGGGAATGTTTCTACTCTTTTGTTAAAAGTAAATTTAATTCTGATCATTTCCAAATGTTTGAATATTTTTTATTCCTGAATTTTAGTGTTAGTTTTATAAGAAAATTTAGTTTGGAAAATCTCAGAACTACAGTTGAAAGACATCAGTCCTGGGAGTTAGCTTTCTTTTGAGTTGATTCCCCAATCCCAATTCTCATTTGATTCTTTTCACTCCACACTCGAAGTCTTATTCGTCAAGATTATTGTTAATTATTGCTTTAAGGTACTATTGATTTGATTTCATAAAAGCATTTTTACAGAGCATACTAGCTTATTGGGGGGGGGAAGTGTGTGTGCGTATATATATATAATATGTACAGACATATATGTTATATCTGTATATATATGTGTGTGTGTATATGTATATAAAGATCAA